TGGTAGTTAAAAGAAAAAAACAAAACAAAACACCAAAAAAACCCAGAAATAGGCATATCACACTCTCCTCTCTGATATTGAAAATTCACAGTATCATAATAAAGACTTTGAAAGTCTGGCAGAAGAAGGCATAACATTAACTATTTCTAGCCAACCAAGGTCCAAAATATCTTTGAGTGTAGATCCCCTTTTTTTTAAATTTTTATCTTTAAACACTCCAATGAACATTCTCATGCAAAGCCAAATTCTCTTCCACTTTGGCAATCTTTACTCTAAACGAATCTCTCAAGCAATAGATGAGAAAAATGATTATTTTTTGAAAGTCATTTTCCAAGGTCAGACTTAAGAGGCCCAAACCACGAATGGGTCTTCTGACTTTCCAAGCACTCTTTACTTACACAACATCTTACTAATGTCTACCAGCCTTTCCCTTACACCCACTCCACGCCGGTTCTAATCACCCGGCATCTTCATACTCATTGCACCCGCTTTTCTTACACTGCTGTCCCTGTCTGCCATCCCATCCCTACTTGCCAAGATCGCTCCATCCTTTGGGCCCATCTCCTTGAAGCCTGCTCAAATATTCAGCTTATCCCTTCTTCCTTTCCTGAAAGTCTATTGCACTTAGCTGCTACTAGGCACTCAAGTGCCTGTTTCATAATTATTTCATAGTTGCTGGACTTATTTTATCAACAAAACTGCACACTTTTTCAAGATGCTGTATGTATTTTACATGTCTCTGTAGTCCCTACATTTGTCTTTCCAGTGCCTTCTCTGTATTAAGAATTCTGTAAATACATGCTAATCAATACAAGGAAGGCAATTAGTATTGTTTTAAAATAAGTCATTAAGTGGTATTTTATCATAAAATATTATTAGAGACTGTTAACGTGGCATGTTTATAAGTACATAAAATTCTGTACAACCTGCTTATGTGACCAATAGATGGGTAAGCCCTGAAACTGAGCTAGGAAATGAAGACCACATGAATGCCTTGGTTTGGATCTCTAGCCACGAGAAACTTTGATTTTCTAAAGCCTGCAAAATTCTACTTGGCCTCTTGTCTGTTAATTCCACCAACTTCATCACTGTTTCTCTTGGCCAGCTATACAAAAGTCTGTTGTCTGGATGGAGAAATAATGGATTTTCTAAGTGGAGTTTTCAGCCATGTTCTTTGCTTGACTTCCTAGTCTATATTAGACAGAAAGCAACCCAAATAAAAACAGAAAGTAAACATTATCTGGTACACTGGGGGACTAGGACCTGACATTTCCTTTTACATTATATTTACTACTAAACACTTTAAAAATTTTTCAAAAGAGAGAAATAGTTTTAAAATAGTGGCATGGAACCTGAAGATACTCACTCTTATACTGCCATTCAAAGAATATCCAAATAAATAATAAGACCATATCCAAATGGTAATTCTGCTTCTCAATTACATAATGAAAAGAACACCACACTCAACTTTAGCCTCCTCACCTCGCCTCTTATCTTCTATCATGAGACTCTTCACAATCACACACTTGAACTTCAGGGCACAATTACTCAAGACAAGTGTCCCCGCAGAATATGAAACTCCCAAAGCCAGCTTCTCTGACTGCAAAGTGTGAGCCATTTCAAAATCACCTCCAAAGTTTGCCTCCTCTTAAACTGGGCCTTCAATAATGAAGAACAAGTGACATGAAAATGTAGGTTCTCATTAGGCAAGTGTATTATGTTTACTCCCATTAACAGTAAAATGATAGCTACTGTTGTCAGGTGCCATCAAGGCTCACAGAGACCTAGTCTGAGATCATTCACATCAGTACACGTGATAATGAGTTAGGAGTCTTTTATTAGATGAGTCTAAAGGCAGATACTTGGAATAAAACGATGGTGGCAAATAATATGCCCCTTAACACTCATAGCATGCCATTTCTCCACTTTGGCAGCTATTGCCCAGAACTGGCATAATTGTAAGCCTAGCTGGGCCAGCCACTTTTTCAGGTTTCTTATCACAACATCATAGCAAAAGCAGCAGCTTTGATGACATATAGTGATAACTGTTTTCATTTCCAAACACCAGGCATAAAAACACACTATGTAATAAGGGTAACCCTTAGCATCTATAATAAGTCTTAACATTTACAAATACCCCTCTAGTACAAATTCCAGTCCAAGTTCATAGCTAAGCTCCTTACCTCCTAATAAGCACTTTGCATGTCTTGGTGACAGAGACCCGTAAATTGAGTATTGAAGAACAGCAAAGGTTTGATTGTAATGACCACGACAGAAACATGTTCTGACCATCCAGCATGGACAGGGATGTGGTAACAACAGGGCAACAAATCTGATTTTCCCCAAAGAACCAGATATACACGGTGATTTTTACACTCCATTGTGTATTTGAACTGCCAAGTTTATTTACAGCTTTCCTCAAAAAGCTAGGCCTATTAAAAAGTGAAATTGACAGGGCAGTTGAAAATATCAGAGAACCAATATTAATGTGTGGGTTTAGTAATGAGATTGTGGAATTTGATGCTTTTTGTTTTTGAGTATTTACCATTTGGAGTTATAAACAGAAATAAATGTCAAATTGTTGAGCCTGGGTGTAGGGCACATTGCCATTTATTCCACTACATTTTTTTTCTATAATAGAAAATTTTAAAAGAACTTTTAAAAAACTTTGACCTTTCAGACTCACACAAACAGATGTCCATGATATTTACATACGAAAGTGTTCTGATATTCAAAGTGATCACATTAACCACGGCTTTGAAGCTAGAAAAGTAGCAGAAAAACATCACAGCAAGCAAAGGTATGGTATTAATCATGCACTTTGAACTGTCCACACTAAAAATTAATAAACTATAATAGGCAAATTTGCTCTTAAAAGCCAAGTGGAGATTACATATAAAGATTACCTCTCACAAGGCCAACCAGCCATCTCTTGATTAAAATACAACACAAAACAACTGTCAAACAACTTCTATGCCCACTTGGCCTTCAAAAACACTCTTGGGATCTGCACACCCCTCTTGTACACTGAACAGGGACACAAAACAGCCCAGGGTGAGCATACAGAAAGGAGAACCACTTGTAACCAGCTCTTACCAGTCTTGTCCTAAACCAAGCCAGTCAGCAATGAGGAACCCAGTTCCAGGCAGCATTTTCTATCAGGATAGATGCTGCCATTTCCATTCCATTTTCAAGAGAAGGAGACATAGAGAGAATGAGAGAGAGGTCACACTATAGTGTCCTCCCACCAGGGCAAAGTGGAAGCCATGGCTGGAATTATCCTGATAAATGATGAGTCTCAACACTCAAAATGACGTGCTGGACCCAGTTTAGTCAACCAACCCACAAGTTCTAGAACCAAAATATAAATAATTCCACCTCTAACACCAAAATCTATGATCAATATCAATACCACTATTACCACCGCCCTCCCTGCCCCCAACCAGTGGTCACCTTTCCACCACTACCATCAGGACCAGCAGCTCAAGCAAACACCACTCAAAGAGAAAAGAACAGCACTGATAGGGAGGCCTCCTTTTCAAAACACTTAAACCTGACACCCAAACAAATCACACAGAAGCAACCCTTCGAACGTGTGCAGCTGTTATTAACCAAACTAGCATGTAAGCATCTGAGACAATAGCATCATAACAGCAAGAAACCAAAGGGAAAGGAAAAAAAGTTTCCTGCAGGAACCTCAAACCATCACACCAGGTGCCCCAGAGGCTAGATACCAACCCATGCCTTGTGCTTGTCCTTATGAAAGCTGGACCAACTCTGCATCCCAAAGCCTGTGTGTGTGTGTGTGTGTGTGTGTGTGTGTGTGTGCGCGGTGGGGGTTGGGTCAGGAGGCAGTGGGGGCAGTGAAATTTACAGAGGCCAATGGACAATCCTAGCATCAAATCAGAGCTGTGCAAGCCAAGGATAGTTTCCCTCTGACCCTTGGCCACACAGTCCCCCTGCCTTGGCCCCCCTAGCCCACCATGCCAGGAGCTGGTCAGCCTACAGGAAAATGTGCGTTTGCAAATCAACACTGCAGGTGCTCTAGAGATAAAGACAGACACACACATATACACGCACAAAGCCAATCACTGGGGGGGGGGGGAAGAATACACAAAAAGGAAGGGGAGAGGGACAATTGAGTGACAAGCCCTTCAGATGCCAGCTAGGATTTTATTCTTTGCTCACAGCCGCCCTCCCTGGTGTACATCTGTCTGTCCTCTAACTAAATGGCTCGTGCACACACACATGTGCATACGGATGTGGAGAAGGAATATTACAATTAACCCTTTCCGCAGAGAAGCCCCATCCAGCATACAGAAAGCTATTCCACCCTTTCCTCTTCTCTCCCCTCCTCCCTTCTCCTTTCTGCCAACCAGGAGAAAACGCCCCCTTCCCCAGCTTCACCAAGGAAAAAAAAAAAGAGGAAAAAAAAAAAGGCTGGGGGAGGAGAGGGCACAGCAACCCCCAAATCCCCTCGGTCTCGGGTCCCGAGGACACCCCGAAAGGCAGACACTATCCGCGCGCGCACACACACGTCCACACACACGAGCATATGGCTCTGTGGGCAGCACACAGAGCCCCGTCCACGGGCGCCCCAAACCCAGCAAAGAGACTTCCACCAGCCAAGAAGCCATGATTGGGGAGGGAGACGAGGAAGGAGTAGGGGCAGCACGATCCGTGGAGGGGGGCGCATTGTTGTGATGCCTGCACCCCTTTCTCTCTGCCCATCTGCCCGAGGAGGGGGTGCAGGGAGGGGGCGCAGGGAAGAGGCGAGCGAGGACGAGGGAGCGAGGAGATCTGGCTCGCCTGGCCGATCCCCTCCTGCCGCCTGACTGCCCGCGCCCCCCGGCTCCCCCCAACAATGAGAGCTCAGCCCAGACAGACAGACAGACAAGACAGCCAGCCCCGACCGCGGCGGGCGAGGCAAGCGGAGCCGGGCGCAGCCAAGTGGGGTCGTGCATAAAGGGAAATCAAGGGGGGAGGGGGGTCCCCCTTACCTCCAGCGCTTCAAAAGTGACAAAGCTGGTCATGGCAAATCCATCAATGATGTCCTCTTCGGCCGAGCTGGACTCTCGCCGCTTCCTCCGCGGGGGTCTGGGCCGGGACGGGGCGGAGGACGGGGGCTTCCCATTGTCTTCCTTGTCGGAGCCCGACGACGAGGCGAGCG